TCTTCACACGTCTCATGTCTTTGTTTATCATGAAATTATAATTTTCTTCTTTATGTTTTATAGTATATATTCTTTTTAAAGAACAAAAAACGTGTCTAAAATGATACAAAGAATAAATTTACTCAAATTTATATTTAAGCGGATCATCTAAATTTAAATTTTTTTAAAATATACAATTGAAAGTTTTTTGAACTTTTTAGATTATCAAAGTATCATTAATAGATTATATCTTTGTTTCATAATTTGTATTCCTTAAAAAGTTTTTGTTTTACTAAAATAGCTTCGATTTTGTCTCTAAATTTTAAGATATTTAGGAATTTAGTTTTTATTTAACTAAAATAGTATATTTGATTTTCAAGTTTAAATTTAATTTTTAATTACCCCTAAAGTTCGAAATTTAATACTAAATTAACCTCTTTTTTTTTTTATTGAATTGAGTTTTTTTTTTTTTTGTAATTTTAAATTTTAAGAATTAATTACTATTAAACTCAAACTTTAAGGAATGATCTTGGTTTATAATCAACTAATACTATCTCCATTGAGGTGAGGCCTTTTGGGGAAGCTCAAAAAGCCGTGAGAACTTATACTCAAAATGGACAATATCAACATATCATTGTAGAGAGTCTGTGTTATCAGAAAAATAAAAATAAAAATGTTTAAACCAATTTGATAGTTGGTGGGTATTTACTTTAATTTATGACTCTGCCCTTCTGCCGACAGTCTATCGATTGCATTTATTTCATTGATTTCATTGAAAATTATCCAATAATAATAGGATGCATATTTAACTCTTTGCTCAAGAAGTAAAAAGTAAACCCATGTAATTATGATTTCATGCTTCTTATGAAACATATAATTTTATTACGGTGGGTTCGAATGCAACGTATTTCTCTACCCAGAGTCTGTGCATATACACGTGGGTCCATTTGAATATTCTATTTTCATAAATCTAAGACTTGCATATAGACTTACGCACTCTCGTGTAGCAGAACCATAAAGACGAATAAGATACGATATCATTCTTTGCATTCGTAAAAATATATGAAGAGAATGAATTCATGCTCAATCTATATATAACATGCATGCGGTTCTGCATAATTTTTTTTCTTTTATAAAATTTTATGAATATATTGATCTATTTAATAAAGTTTTATGAATTTGAATGAAACAAATATCAATTCTTTGGTAGAGAATAGTCTAAATCTTGTTGGGTAGATACAATTTGATCTCTAAATTTGAAGATGGAATAAAACATGGGGACGAGAGAAAAAAAATTGATAGTCGGAGTACCCTACACTCGGCTCACGCATGTGCACATGGACCGACCAGGTGGCTTGTCTATATACCCCTAGTCTTGGCTCATCGAGCTATACTTACGCTACCAGACACCTTAGAGGACAAGGGCTCGCATAATATCATGGGGAACAAAATTATTGTCAGGTAGGCATCTATACTAATCATAACGGGGAAGTATTCTGATGCACGTGATATACGTAAATGTATGAGGTCTCATCACTTAAAATCATGAGATAAATTTGTGATGCAAGTCATCCCTTCATTCCTTCAAAACGTAGCAAGGCTATGAAACAATATGCATACGCAATTCTTATCATATCATTCATACTTAACATAATTTGCATAGCATGACGTAGGTTTATGCTTTATAAATCATCGAATCATAAATATAATTCCACAACATGACATGATCATATTATAGCATAACATAACATAAGCGTAACACGGTATAGCAAGAAGTGATGTATATGTAACTATTTATCTAAGAGTACTGATGCACACCCTGATAAAAAGAAAAAAGTGAAACTCAAGACCACGTTTTAGATTCGACCATAATTATGTTAATCTTTTTCATAATTGCATATGTATGTATTTTTCGATGACATCAGAAGGGTCAGTTATCAAATATTTTTAATACTCGAACGCTTAAAGAATTGAAAATTCCAAACTTGATGTACTATTTTGTAATCTCTAAGACGTTTTCCATTCCTCATTCATTAAAGTAGCCATGTAATTTTGCTTTTTGGCTTTTCAAAAGAAAATTTTGCCACACTATTGCTTTAAGTCTCCCTTGAATTCTATGTAAAATCTAGACACTTACCATCTCTTATGAAGTTATTACTTTTATGTTACTAATTTAAATTTTCTTTTAAAAAAAATTATTACTAAACGACATATTCATTGCTATCCACACCAAAAAAAAAAAAAATGTACAAGAGATCCCAAAGTCGAAGCACCACTAATTTTTAGAAAAAGAATTGATTTTAACCCCATAATTGTTTCTATTTTTACCCACAAACTTGAATAAATGTTTCAATTTTTACCATAGATAATAGACATTCATTTGAATAACTGTGTATGAAAATATTCTAGAGTGCATTACATAACATAAATCATATAAATGGTTAAAATAAATTAATTAAAGCATGATTTGTACCCATCGTTGCAATCTAGAATTGTCGTTTGATGGTATTGGCATTCTCCTATATTCGTTGTGACGTGTCCACGTTACCTATGCCTACAAGGCTCACGGACATGTTTTTAAAGAAAAAAATTTACGTCACCCAGTAAAGAATTGATCCAAACTAAACATGTTTAAGTTTGGAGGTTCTACTATTCAACCACTCAAAGAGAAGTTCCACCTAGTGATATAGATAGTAACTATAAATTATTTTAAATTTTAACTGATAGTTAGGAGTGATTCATGGATAGTGAAATTATGTTTGCTCGAAGAATAGGTTCTAAACTCAGTTTTCTAAATAAATTAAATATCATAAGTGAAAGTTAATTTCGGTGGAGTAGAACATAGGAACATTCAATTAGGATCAGTTTAGGAAAACCAAGTAAATAAACTTACGCTTTGAATGCCTACAGGTTAAGTGCAACTATTTGATACATGAATAATACGTATTATGTGACCATATTTATATTTTATTATTTTTGTTATGATATCTTAACGAACAATGTGGTGCATGTACTTTGATTATGACCGCAATATTGATATGATCAAGATGTACTATGTATGATAACCATGAACCATGATTTTTAATTAGAGACCTCATGAATACTGTTATGTCATGTAAATTACTTCTCGAACATGTTATGTACAAACGTATACACCATGATATTATTCGCATTCCTTTCTTTTTCCTTGTTTTTTGATAGCATAAGCGCGTGCAAGCCCAGAGTTAAGCTCTAGTAAGTTTGTTTACCCACCCACTTAGTGGGATCGTATGCATGTGTGTGAACCATATCTAGAAAATTACCATACATCCAACTCTACCAAAAAGAGAAAATAGAGTCGAAGGAACAATCATGAAAATTAAGTATCACTAGTTATATACATATTGTATATGGATACACTTCTCGACCCTAACAATGGGGTCATTTATTGAGTATTTTTAAATACTCATCATTCTTGGCAAGTCTTTCTTAGTCATCTTATCCTCATAATCGCTCTCATTCAGATGTGATCTCAATTCATTTATTTTTTTTTTCGGGTATCATATTTACATGATGGAATAATACTATGATCAGAGATTATATGTTTAGAAACAAGATACGTGAGAATAATATCTACGTATTTTGATTTACTCGGGACTTATTTATGGTTTTTTGTTGTTTGTTTTGAAATATAAGCTTAGAAATGTAGAGTAGAAAGTTAAAAATATTTTACCAAGTTGGTATTTATGAAAAGGTATGGAATTAGGGTTTCTTACACCTTAAGTTATTTATGAAAATCTTTAACTATTTGTCATATGATTTAATTATTTCAACAATAAAATATATTGAAATATTGAAAGTATCTATTAATTCCTTATATTTGGAATTAAATTTAACAAAGGTGAGAAATGAGGGTTCTTATCTTCTATTTAAAGTAATTTACGAAGATCTTTAATAACTTTCTATATGATTCTTTAAAAGAAATCAAAAACTAATTATAATATTGAAAAATACAATTAAGATTATTAGGTCAAATTTGTACATTTTCTTAACTTAAAAGCACCCTTATTAAACAAAAAAAATCAATAAATTCGAGTTTGTTTTTAAATGTTTAAGCTCAGCCCAAACCGTATATAGGAATGGTTGAAAATTAAGTTATTTATAAAACTATATAATAAGTTTCTAAATAGTTCTTACCATTAAAATTTGAACATTTCAAGGAATATTGAAATTACATGAAGCATTTTATAAAATGAAAGGTTCCCTCAACTTTAAAGAAAGTAAATTGAATTATATATGTTTTGATTCTTAATATTTACGAAAATCTTCACTATCATCCATAATCCTACATTTGTTTAGTTATCTAATTTTGTAATTCATATAATACATAAGTTGAAATTGTTACTAAGTTTAATTACATTTGTCATCGAACAAATATTAAAATTCAATAAGTATAAAATTTAAAGTAGCATAGATATCGGTTGTGGAGGAGAACGAAACACATTCTTTATAAGGGTACGAAAACTTCTCTTCCCCTCAACGGAGAGTCTAAAGAAGACAATATCTGCTAGTAGTGGATTTAGACAGTTACAAATGGTATCAGTGCCAGACATCGGGTAATTTGTCAGCATGGAGGCTGAGCCGCAAAAAGAGTGTACACAAGGCAGTGAATTGGAGGATCCCACATCGATTGGAGAAGGAAACAAGTGTCAATGAAAACGCTAGACTTCGAAAATGGGTGAATTGTGAGATCCTACTTCTATAGGTTCCCTGTAGAATTTTTTTAGTTTCATAAGTTTTATAAGAAATAATTAAACTAATTATCATCCCAAAAATTCTAGTTGAACTTCAAAAAGGAAAAAGTAAAAAAAAAAAAAAAAATGATGCAATGAACAGTGAAAGGTGCAAATAGAGGCCATTGTTTGGGCAATTTTTCTTTTTGATCTCTAAAAGAATCTTGACACACAGCTTGAAGATCAGCAATCACCAACTTTTTTGTGGTATAAATAGCATACCAATTTCACCTTCTCCAAACCACCTTCTTTCAAGTCATTGCAAACAGAGAAACAAAAGAGAGAATGTTTGGGATTGGGAAAAACCTTATAGGGGATGCCCTTAAAACCACTGGTGACGTTCTTAGAACTACCGGGGACGTTGCTGGGTCGGTCGTAAATGCTGGAGGGAACATCGTTGACCGAGCCACCGACATCGGTCGGATCGGGAAGAAGAAGATTAAAGGGAAGGTGATTTTGATGAGAAGCAATGTTTTGGACTTCACTGAGCTTCACTCCAGTGTTCTTGATGGGGTCACTGAGCTGTTGGGCAGTGGAATTGTGCTGGAACTCGTGAGTGCAACTCATGTTGATCGCCATTGTAAGTGTTCCTTTTGAATTATTTTGTGGGCATTGTTATTGCTTTGTTGGGGTTTGATGAGTGTTGTTATTGAATAGCTAACGATCCACGAGGGAAAGTTGGGCGGCGTGCTTATTTGGAGAGGTGGCTGACCTCACTGCCGCCGTTGTTTGCCGGAGAGTCGGTGTTCCAAATCAACTTTGAATGGGATGAAGAGTTTGGATATCCAGGAGCTTTCTATATAAGAAATGGACATACAAGTGAGTTCTTTCTTAAGTCACTCACTCTCGAGGATGTTCCCGGCCATGGAAAAGTCCATTTCGATTGCAACTCATGGGTTTACCCTCAACGACGATACAACAAAGATCGTATTTTCTTTGCTAATAAGGTAATTAATTAATCAATTTCTTACCCGGGTCAAGAATCACATGTCTCCACAATATGTTTTTTTGTTTTCCCAAAATGTCTTATACCAGTGGAGATGTATTCTTTACTTATAAACTTATGATCAACCTCTTAATTAGCCAATGTGGGACTCCTCTCCCAACAATCCTCCCTTCCAACATCCTCCTCTTAAGTGAGGTTCGACTCCTTTCTCTAGAGCCCTAAAACAAAGTACACCATTTGAAGATTCTATTAACATGGTTAAATTAAGGGTATGACTCTGATACCATCTTAGAAAACATGGTATCAGAGGATTTCCACAATAGTATGATATTATCCCCTTTGAGCATAAGTTCTCATGCTTTTCCTTTTGTTTTCTTCAAAAAGGCCTCGTACAAATGGAAATGTATCCCTTACTTATAAATTCATGATCAACCCCTTAATTATCTGGTGTGGGACTCCTCTCCCAACAATCCTCAACAACCCTTCTTATTTATCTCTAGTTTAATCTCACGTTTTTGCTTGCAGACATATCTTCCGAGCGAGACACCAGCCCCACTTCGCAAGTATCGAGAGGAAGAATTGATCAATCTTAGAGGAGATGGAAAGGGAGAGCGGAAAGAATGGGATAGAATTTATGACTACGAAGTCTACAATGACATAGCTGATCCTGATGGTGGAAACAGTCTTGTTCGTCTTATTCTGGGAGGGAACAAATATCCTTATCCTCGTAGAGGAAGAACGGGAAGGCCACGTACTAGAAGAGGTTGGAATATTCGGATTTTAAACGAGTTTTAAATATTAGAGCTAGTTTTTCTATTCATATAATAATAGTGTTTGGCAATGAGTTTTGCAGATCCCAATTATGAGAGCCGATTGCAATCAGTGGTAGGGTTAAATATTTATGTGCCAAGAGATGAAAACTTTGGACACTTAAAGATGGCAGATTTTCTTGCGTATTCATTGAAGGCACTTTCTTCAAACATCAAACCAGGGCTTGAAACTATAGCTGATCGAACTCCGGGAGAAATTGACAACTTCAAACAAGTACATAATCTCTATGATGGAGGATTTCCCATTCCATTTAATGTCTTTAGAGATCTCACTAATGGACTCACACCGCCCATGTTCAAAGAACTTTTAAGGACGGATGGTGAAAGATTTCTTAGATATCCAGTTCCTCATATTATCAAAGGTATAAACGTATATTTATTTTAACTTGTTGAACTAATGTTCGAGTGACTTGACTATATATCAACACTAACATGTTTTTTAACAAACTCGTGATAGATGATAAATCTGCATGGAGAACTGATGAAGAATTTGCAAGAGAAATGTTAGCAGGAGTCAACCCTATATGCATTAGTCGTCTTCAAGTAATTCTTCTTGCATATATTTACTTCTCTTTTTGTTTTTTTTTTCGGTGTTCATTTATATTTTCTTTACTTCACAGCAATTTCCACCGTTGAGCAAGCTTGACCCTTCTGTTTATGGAAATCAAGATAGCACAATTTCGGAAGAAAACATAAAGTATGGTCTTAATGGACTCAGCGTCAATGAGGTAAATCATGAAGTTCCTTAAATTTTTAAAAAAACGTTGAACGAACTAATGAAACGATTGATTTGATTTATCGATAGGCAATCGAGCAAAATAAGCTTTACATATTGGATCACCACGATGCGTTGATGCCATATCTAAGAAAGATAAATTCAACATCTACAAAGACTTATGCCACAAGAACACTCTTGTTGTTACAAGATGACGGGACTTTGAAGCCATTGGTTATTGAGTTGAGCTTGCCACACCCTCAAGGAGATAGACATGGTGCCATTAGCAAGCTGTACTATCCAGCTGAAGGAGGAGTTGAAAGCTCAATTTGGCAATTGGCCAAAGCTTATGTAGCGGTAAACGACGTTGGGTACCATCAGCTTATTTCTCATTGGTATAAACCTCATAAAACTCGAAAATTATCGATATCAATTTTTCATATTCATTCTTTAATTTTACGTTCGACGCTTCAAAATTATTATAGGTTGCACACGCATGCAGTAGTCGAGCCATTTGTGATCGCAACACACCGACAATTAAGTGTGCTTCATCCGATACATAAGTTACTAATTCCACATTATAAAGACACCATGTTTATAAATGCATTTGCAAGGCAAGTTCTTGTGAATGCTGGTGGGCTTCTTGAAGAGACCCATTTCCAATCAAAATATGCCATGGAGCTATCTTCTTATATATATAAAGATTGGAATTTCCTTGAACAAGCATTGCCCATGAATCTTATCAAGAGGTAGATCTTTAATTTCCTTAATTTTATTTGGAGCTATTTTAATAATACAACTTCAATTAAGAAGCACGACCCTCTATAATGGTATGACATTGTCTATTTTAAGCATAAGCTCTTATGGCAGTGCTTTTGGTTTCCCGAAAAGACTTCCTATCAATGCAGATGTATTCCTTGCTTATAAATTCATGATCAACCCATTAATTAGCCAATGTGAAACTCCTCTTCCAACAATCCTTAGCAACCATCTTCCTTTCCTTGATTTGTGTAGAGGTGTAGCGGTTGAGGATGCAAGTTCCCCACATGGACTTCGGTTACTAATAGAGGACTATCCATTTGCTGTTGATGGGCTTGAGATTTGGTCGACAATCCAAAAATGGGTCACAAACTATTGCTCTCTATACTACAAAGATGATGAGGCAATTCAAAACGATGTTGAACTCCAATCATGGTGGAAGGAAGTAAGAGAAAAAGGTCACGCAGACAAGAAAAATGAGCCCTGGTGGCCAAAAATGAACACCATATCCGAGCTAGTTGAATCATGCACCATCATCATATGGATTGCTTCGGCGCTTCATGCAGCCGTCAACTTTGGACAATATCCATATGGAGGGTTTGTTCCCAATAGACCAACTATAAGTCGTAGATTGATGCCTGAAGTAGGCAGCTCTGAGTATAAAGAACTTGAGGCGAACCCTGAAAAGGCATACTTGAGGACAATCAATTCTCAAATACAATTTCTTCTTGGAATGTCACTAATTGAAATTTTATCAAGGCATGCTTCGGACGAGGTGTATCTTGGACAACGAGCTAGCATTGAGTGGACATCGGATAAACATGCATTAGAAGCTTTTGAGAAGTTTGGAAAAGAGGTATATCAAGTTGAAGAAAGGATTATGGAAAGGAATCGAGATATCAACTTGAAGAATCGAACTGGGCCAGCTAATTTTCCCTATACCTTACTCGTTCCATCGAGTAGTGAAGGACTCACTGCAAGGGGAATTCCCAATAGCATCTCCATTTGAAGCAATGAATTATGTTTTGTAAGCTCCAAGTATGTGGTGTGAAATTTGAATTTGCGTGTGTATTAAGTTTGAAGTATGGCTACGTTTTGAGCTACTCACTATTATTAAGAATAAAAGAGTATGCTTAAGGTAGATTTATTGAATTTTATGTATGGGCTTGCCTATGTGTGTATTAAGGAATAAAAAGTTGTGTTTGAGAATGATAAATGCTTCCTAAAAATGGTGTAAAAGTAAATAGACCTACATGAACATGAACATGGACATGAATCTTTCCACGTGTTTGGTCCAAGGAAAACATATTTAACTTTGAAGCTCCCACAGTTTAGCCTAGTTGTTGATATAGGTAGTGACTTTTATTTATTTTTATTTTTTTTAAGTTTTTTTAGTCATCCTATTCTCATGATCGCTCTCATTTGAATGTGGTCTTAATTCATTCATATACTTTTTCTTTATTCAAGGGTCATATGCCCACCATTTTTTGCCTTGGTTCGTCTCTGAACCTCATCTTACTAGGAAAGGTATTACTCTATACAATTTGTCACAATCCATGTCTAGGATTCGAAATTTGGAATATGAATTTGATATCGGATGGATATGTCATTTCCTTAGATCCCCTGTGACATGGTTACGTTACTTACTCCTTGTCTCTAAGAGCAAATTTTTCCCACGTACTGATATTGTTAAAATATCATCACTAGCCCAGTAAGGTTAAACCTAACTGTATGAGTCATCTTATGAGAAAATGATTTAAGTATTTTGGGAAAATGATTTATGTATTTTAGGAATAAATATATCTAAATATTTTAGAGCAAAGGTTCAGAAATTTTAAGAATAAATTGTCTAACCTCTACTATAAATACTCCTTCACCTATCTAGCTTATCATCCCAAGAAATACAGAACACAGAACAATAGTAAAATGTCTTGTAATCTCTCTCGATTGGTCTTAATAAAGAGTGCGACTGTTTTCCATAGGAGTTGTGTTCAATAATCTGGTATCAGAGCGAGGTTAGTGTAGGTTGTCTGATCTTTTGGAATTCTTAGTATGCTGGTGGTTGTAACTCTGATCTTCCACATCAGAAACGATTTCTTAAGATTATTAGTGAGTGGGTTTCTTCGTGTTGTGAGTAGTCTGTGACTCTCCAAGGTTAGTGTCGAAAAGGCTTGTTTGGTATTACTGAGGTACTACCAACACGATGAGTGATTTCCAAATCATTGGAGGAATCAAAAAACTCAAGAAGAACTAAAACACGTGGGCAACATGCATGATGTTATATTTACAAAGACAGGACCTTTGAGAGGTCGTTGGTGGGAGTGAAACTACGCCGCGAGAGGAGGATTCTAACGGCCCTTGCACAAATGGTATATAGATATGGTTGAGTACCTTTTCCGGAAAATACTATTGATACAGCTCACTTTGTAATTATTACAACCAAATCATTCACGTGAGTTGGGGTATCATAAGGCTGAGTCACAATTAATTAATATCTATAGATATTAATAAATCCATTAATTGAGAAGATCGATATTTTAAAAGATGATCATACGTGACTCAATCTAATCCTGTGTGAGTTATGAATTTCTACTTACCGAATGATTTATCAATTGATTTGCATGAATGAGATTGATTTTTGTTATCAATTCTAAATTTGAAAAAGATTTTCCCAAAATATGTAACACAGTTTGGGTCAAGCTTGGAGACGGAGACTGATCATTTGTGGGGAATCAAATGAATTAGCTACTTGACAGAAGAGAAGAGTCAAAAGTGTAAAGCTACTTCACAGGAAGAAAAGAAGAAGAGAATGAAAGCGAAAACTAGTACTCCGCGGCACTTAGAAAAGAGAATGCCGGATAAGATTTCATTCTCATAATCTGATTTGATTCTCTTTAGAAAACTCTCGATGATACGAATTGTCTCTGCACTTCTTCCCCTCCAATCTTAGGCTCCCAAAAGCCTTGACAGTGTGTTCAAATCATAGCTACAAATATTTTATTTTGAGGTGTGGAGTCATTATAAGAATTAGTATTGCTATGCCTATATAAAAGCTTGCCTAGCATTGTGGAGTCAAATGGAGTCATTGTCATTTTATATTTTTATAGTGGTATTTGGGTTAGATGCAGAGTCACTGTCATTTTGTATTTGCCTAAGGCAATTGAGAGGAATTTTGTTGAGAAACTTTGTATTGTGAGAGTGTGAGAGATACAATTGTAAACATTTTGGTTACAGTAGTGATTAGCTACCACTCGTGGATGTAGGAGAATATCTTCTCTCCGAACCACGTGAATCTTTGTGTCTCCTTGTTTAATTTCTGTTTTTGAGTGTGTGAGCGCGATTGATCTTGCTTCCGCTTCCGCTACAACAATTTGGTATCATAACTTTTTTGGTTCTGGCATTTGGGGTACAACACCATAATCCTTATCCGTGGTTGTATTGTATTCATTATACCTTCTTGGTCGATCTTTCTTGTAACCTTCTTTAGGACTCCCCGAGCTATATGTTCCTCACCCACCATGATTGTTCCCACGAGATCTTGAATTGGTACAACGAGGTCAAGGACTTGTCATTAAAATCATCAAAATCACCATAAATGTGTTCTTTCTACTATTCCTGAAATTGTTGAGACTGAAACTCACTCCCTCTAGTGTATTTATCACCACGAGCTTGAGAGTCGCTTCCCCTTATATTTTTTTCTCTGTGATTCGTCTATGCATACCTTGATCAAAATCACCAAAATCAGATTCAGATGAGGTTACCTCCATGAATTGTTCACTGAGCTATCTAGCTCATAATTGTTGATATCATCCTCCTCATCAAAATCCTCAAATCCGACATATGGGATGGGTTGAGATGCATAGTACTTTCATACACATGAATCCATCTAAATACCCTATTTTCGTAAATCCAAGATTTGTGCACAGGCTTACACACTCTCGTGTAGCATAACTATAGAAAGAACTCTCGTATAGTAGAACTATAGAGAGAAATAAGATTTGATATATGAGGAGAATTAATCCAATCTCAATGCATACACAACATGCACTAGTCCTACATAAACTTAAAAAATCTCAAATCTATATAACCTATATTATGATTGGTCAAGTATAGTTGGAGAACCTTTTAGAACAAATTTCTCAAACTTAACGACCACATGAACTTTTTCCTTCATAATAAAATAATTATAACAATGGGGCGAAAAATAAATAACGTGAATTTAAATAAAGTAAAGAAAAAATAATACATGTTACTTAGAATAATGTGTACAAGTATAGGGTTGTGTCATAAAGATGATTGATGTGTATATATACATCGGGTTACTTGCCCATTTATGAGAATAAGTACGGACGCGTACATTATGATGATAATCATCATCATGTCTCACATGACACTAGGGGGTCTGTTGTCCTCCAGACACCGCTACTGACAACTAGCTCGACTATGATGGGTCCAGGGGGTGCGAACCGCCTGGAGATCCACAATCACACGTGTAGGTCGTGTGTAGAGAAGTACGTCCAATTTTGTCCAGATTGGAGGCCACCCCTATGATGGTTTTAGCAATAGGTTCCTAATCATGAGTTACATGTGTTTGCATTCCCTGACCCTAATAGTGTGTCACTTATGAGTATTTCTTAAAATATTCAGCCGTGTGCTACTTCTATTTCAAGTAAAGACAAGACATCTCTATACGACTGATGACGACATCGCAAGTCAAGACCATGACGCATGCATTAGATAGTGGTATTTTATTTCTTAGACTTTAGGTTAGGATAGGGTGTTTTTACTTTTATTGTTTATTTATTTCGTTTAATATGTTACGTTGTTTTAAAGATGTTTTTGGAACACGTAGGTCCATGACAGTGTTTTACGATGAAGTTTTAAATGTTTAATTCCGCATAAGAGCATAGGTTATGACGACGATAACAACTTCAGGTTAGTAGAAATTTAGGATCGTTAGAACATAAATTTGTGATGCAAGTCATCCCTCCATTCAATCAAAACATAACAAGCCTATAAAACATGCCTACGTAATTCTTATCATATCTTTCATAGTTAACATAATTTTCATTAAGAGGGTCATTTACCGAATATTTTTAACACTCGAACACTTTCTCGAGAGAAAATGAGTATCCCTAACAAAGAATTGAAATTTCGAAACGTGATACACTACTTCGTAATTCTCTAAGACGTTTTCCATCCCTTGTTCATTAAAGTAGCCATGTTATTTGCTTTTTGCCTTTTGAAAATAAAATTTTGTCCCACTATTGCTTTAAGTCTCCTTCAAGTTCTATTTAAAGTCTAAATGCTTCCCTATCTCTTACGAACTTATTACTTTTATGTTACTGATTTAATGTTTCTTTTAAAAGAAATTATTATATTACTAAACGACACATTCATTGCTATCCACACCAAAAAAAAGGACGAGAGATCCAAAGGTATAAGCATCACTATTTTTCAGAAAAGTATTGATTTTTACCCCATTTTTTAGAGGGTGAACCAAATTTACTTTTCATTCATTGCTATTTTTACCATAAACTTAGGATAAATTTTTCAATTTTTACTATAGATAATAGACATTCATTTGAAAGACTGTGTAATCATATAAATGGTTAAAATAAATTAATAAAAGCACGATCTCGACAAACCTTGGAATCTAGACTTGTTATTTGATGGTCTTGGCATCCTCCTACCTTCTCTGCGATATGTCTACATTATTTAGGCTTATAAGGGTCACTGACATGCTTTTTAAGAAAAAAATTCACACAACGTTGATATGATCGTGTTTATGTTTTGCAAAACGTCATGATGTACTATGTATGATACCCATGAATAAAGTAAAATGAATATGTACATCTCATACAGTATTTATGTCATGGTAAGTATAAAAGTATTATATGCATCATCTGGCTCAACCATGATTTTAAATTGGGGACTTCATGAATGTTGTATGTCATATAAATTATTTTTCAAACATATTATATACAAACGTGTACACCATGATATATTTGTATTCCTTTTTTTTCCCTAGTTTTTGATAGCATTAGCGTGTGCTAACCTAGAGTTAGGCCTAGCAAGTTTGTTTACGAGCCCACTTAGTAGGTTCATATGTATGTGTGTGAACCCTATCTAGAAAATTACCATATATCCAACTCTACCAAGAAGAGAGAGTAGAGTCTAAGTAACAGTCATGAAAATTAAGTCTCACTAGTCATT